AGAAACCATTCTGAGCGAGGGACAAACATGATATGTACTCACTCATGTGTGGATTTTAGACATAGAGTAAAGGATTACCAGCCTACAATCCACACTGCCAGAGAAGCTAGTAAACAAGGAGGACCTGGAGAAGGGGAAAGGGTCAAGATGCCCTGAGCAAATTGAGAGCATGGGAAGAGGGGGGAGGGAGCTACGAGAATGAGAAGGAAGAAGAGGAAGGATGCAGAGGTCATGAGGGAGCAGAAAGGTTGAGTCAGGGGAAGAATAGAAGAAAGGATTTGTGATAGGTAGGATTTTAGTTGGGGGGGTGGTAGGGGAGGACTGGAGGGATAAGGGAACTGGGATTGTCATGTAATTCAATCTTGTTTCTAATTCAAATAAAAAAAGAGAAAAAAAGATGCTAATTGTCAACATTTGTAATGAATTACACATCCATGAAAAGAACTTGGCAAAAGAACTAAGGATGAACTAAAAGTAGATACCATGGTGATTGGAAGGGAGTGGGGAACATGGGGTGAGTGTAACCCTATGGTGTGGAGATGAGGGGAAGGCATGGCAGACAGACCACATCATGTACAAAATCGGAAATATACTGATACAAGTGAAAGAACTAAAACGACTCTTACAACGGTCTAGAAGAATGTAGAGTTGAGGGCATAGTAGGAGCTAGGATGGAGGGTAGGCAAAGCTAGGTGGGACAAAAATGAGAAGCTGTCCCCTGTAAATTTGTGCTTTGAGGCTTACTGAAGTGGCTAGTGGAATTCAGGTGTATCATCCATTCTTTGAAATGATAATGGTGGTGTCTTAGTTAGAGTTTCTATTATTTTGATGGCCAAAAAGCAAGCTAGGGAAGAAAAGGTTTATTTTGGCTTATAATTCCATGTTACTGTTCATCATTCAAGGATGTCAGGACAGGAACACAAACAGGGCAGGAACCTGGAGGCAGGAGCTGATGCAGGGACCATGGAGGAGTGGTGATTACTGGCTTGCTCCTCATAGCTTGCACAGTCTGCTTTCTTACAGAACTTAGGACCACCAGCTTAGGGATGGCACCACCAAACATGGGCTAGGCCTTCTCCCATCAATCACTAATTAAGAAAATGACCTACAGGTCTGCCCACTAGTAGATCTTATGGAGGAATTTTCTTAATTGAGATTCCCTCCTCTCAGATGACTTTAGCTTATGTAGAGTTGACATAAAACTATCCAGTATAGGTGGATTTGATGATGCATGCTTGTCTGGGTCAACTATGGTAATATAGTTCTTAAACAGTGAAATCCTAACTGGGCTTACAATTCAGAAGGCAGGACTGAATTAGTAGCCAGACTAAGTCTTAGATGTGTAAGTGAAAACAAGCAAAGTAGTTCTTTGAGTGGTTTGAAGACAGTGCCATGTTCAAAAGTGAAAGTGTAATTGATGTATGTCTGTAAGCCTTATGGTATTCCCTTTGTTCTTAGGGGGAGATTTTGGCTTTATTTTATTTCACTAATAATAACTCAGCTATTTCACTATCCCAATTTTCCATGTGGATTCAGAAAACAGAAGTTTCTTGGGAGAAGAAAAGAAGTGCATAGGTGTGATGAAGTTTGTGAGAGTAGATAAAAGAGGCAAAGAAGGGGGTACAGTCAACTGTGCTACATGTCCTTGGAAACGCTGGAAAATAGATCTGTAGGAAAGGAGATGTAGCACATCACAGTAGACACATGCAGGGTTACAAACCGAATCAGTAATCTTTCAGATTTCTTTTAGAGATGTTTGAAAGCAAAAAATAAGTATTTTCTATTTCATTATTAAGTTAAATTTAAAAATTACTCACCTTACTCCAAGCATAATTCCAGGTCACACAATTGCCACCTCCCAGAAGATCCTTGAGCCAGGAAACTGGGTTCTGGTAAATCTTCCCATTTTCTACCTTAAGTTTACCACTCAATAAAATACTGGCCTTGTGGGTAGTCTCCTGAAGTGAAAAACAAAAATTAAGATAAACAATTGCTGAAATGTGTGAACTTTTGTTTCTGGCCATGATGAAATAGAAGAGGTCAGATTTACTCTAACACCCGACTCCCTCTGCTCCAAACAAATACACAACAAAATATATAATTTTGTTGTAAATTGGTTTGTAAAATGCCAAGTATCAGCAAAACAATGTCCGCTGAACACTGAGAAGAAAGAACTTTGTGTGGGGGCCTCCATAGCCTCAGCCTACTGTTTGGGTGTCCAGATCACAGATCAGGCAAGGAAAGGAGAATCCAGGCATGACTCTAGAGTTACAGGGGTCACAGGGGACACATAGAAGAGTCAAATGAAGAGACATTGTTAGCTCTTCTCAGGGTCCTCCTTAAGGATTCAGCTAAATAGCGATTGACATATGAGAGGAAATTCTCAAACTGGCTAAGAATGGAAAAAAAGAACCATGTGAAAGGAGTGGAGGTGATGACACCTAGCACTCACAGGACAGGAACTAATGTTTTTCTTCACCATAAAACTAGAAAACCTCAAGACTAATGGTATTATAAAAAAATTTAATCAAAAAGTCTTGATTAAGTAGGAAATGTAATTAGCCCTAAATTTGACACTACTCCAACAAAACTTAAAAAAGAAACTCAAAAGGCCAAAGAGTTTCTAAGCAACTTAACTATATTATGCAACAAATTTACCAAATAATTTTAAGAATGTAAAGACATCCAGCATTCACAAGGCAAGTTCCAGTATGGGAGCCAATAAAAATTAACAGGTGCAATTCCATCAATATTAATAACAGCACTATCTTGTTTAAATAGCTCATCAAGAACTAGAAGAAACCATTCTGAGGGAGGTAACCAAATCATAAAAAGACAAACATGATATGTACTCACTCATGTGTGGATTTTAGACATAGCGTAAAGGATTACCAGCCTACAATCCACACTGCCAGTGAAACTAGTAAACAAGAAGGACCCTAAAATACATGAATATTGTCCCCTGGAGAAGGGGAAAGGGTCAAGATCCCCTGAGCAAATTGAGAGCATGGGAAGAGGGGGGAGGGAGCTACGAGAATGAGAAGGGAAGAAGAGGAAAGATGCAGAGGTCTTGAGGGGGCAGAAAGGTTGAGTCAGATGAAGAATAGAAGAAAGAGTATGTGATAGGTAGGGTTTTAGTCCGGGTGGGGGATGGTGGTAGGGAAGGACGGAAGGGAGAAGGGAACTGGGATTGTCATGCAAATAATCTTGTTTCTAATTCAAATAAAAAATGATTAAAAAATAAATAAATAGCTCATCAAAAGGCAGGTATTGTCAGACTAGATTAAATAAATAAGACCCAACTATATTATGTACAAGACAGACTTCATATTAAAAGAAATAAGTATATTTAAAATTAAAAGATGGATAAGCATAATCATATGAACAAAAAGCATAAGAAAAATGGAATGGCTATACTACTATCAGAAATACTTTAACCCAAAAATTACTAGAAACAGACATTATACAATACAAAAAGGGTTACTATATCAGGCAGATATAACAATTATAGGCACATATGTGCATAAATCCAGAAGAGCTCTAAATGCAGGAAGCAAAACTTAGTCACCATGAATGATGAGAGGTTCAATGTCTTACTTTTAACAAAAAGGTGTAAAGATCAAATAGGGAGAATATCAATTTGAGAAGGCAAGACTCATCCACACTATAAAATTTAACACTAAGCAAGAATATACAGAAATCTCTACTTAAATGGGTTATGGGTACACATCTATAACCACAGCAGCTGGGAGGCTACGAAAGGAGGATTGTGAGTTTAAGGCCAGCCTGTACTAAAACAAAAATAGAAAAATCATGTATTAAAAAGTCTGGAGATGTAGCTCAGCAGTATATTATTTGCTTTGCATATACAAGGCTCTAGATTCAGCACTGCAAAAGAAAACTAGCAAAAAAGTAAAAGGAAAGCACTTAACAAAGGAGTAGTTATTCCTTGTACTGCCTGTGGAACATCATTTAGGAGAGGACACTTGCTAGGTAAGTCATAAAATTAGCCTCACAAAGTTTAAAGAGGAATGTGATAATATAAAGTATGCTCTCTAACCATAATGGAATATGAGTAGAAATTACTAACAGAAAAAATAGGAAGCTCACCATTAAGTAAAATTCAAACACACTCCTAAGAACCAGTGAATCAAAGAAGAAATCAAATTGCAAATTAGAAAATACTTGGGATATGGCCCAATGGATACACAAATATCCCAGCATCCACATAAAAGCCAGGTTTATCTGTAACACAGCATGGGGTGTGGACAGATGGAGCCTAATGGTTCTCTGGCCAGTCATTTCCACCCAATTTGGTCCTTGCAGTCAAGTAATACATTAAAAAAAAAAAAAAGAAAAAGGAAAAAGAAAAAAACCCTACCTTTTGTTACTAAACCATATAATTTACAAAGCAAATTTAATAGTTTCCAAACATATCCTTTAACTTACTAGTAAGCTTTGCAAAGTTGTAGGAAAATATTTCAATATCCAAATGTCAATTTCTTCAAACCAGCAGTAAGCAACTAGAAATTGAAATTTTAAAAACTGGATAACTGATGTTATTAAATATGAAATATTAGCGGGGGTGGGGTAGACCTTTAATCCCAGTATTTGGGAGGCAGAGGCAGGACGATCTCGGTGAGTTTGAGGCCACTGCGAGTTCCAAGACAGTTACTCAGAGGACCTCTCTCTCTTAAAAAACCAAACCAATAAATAAATAAATAAATAAATAAAGTATTTAGAGACAAATTTAATAAAAGTTGAGAAAGACCTGAAAAGTGAGTTACCCCTACACTGCTGAGGAAAAAAACATCAAAGACCAAAGCAAATGGGTGGGTATACTCCATTCGTGGGCTCAACAAGACAATACTGCCCAGATGCCATTTCCTCCCTGAGTAACTCACATATTTAACGAAATATTAGTGAAATAACAGCTTTTTTTGGTAGTAGAAACTGACAAACTCATCCTAAACTTCATATGTGACTTAAAATAGCCAAATATGTTTGTAAAAGAACACAATCAGAAGACTAGCATTAACTTAATTTCAAGGTCTATTATACAGCAACAACAATCAAGGTAGTTTACTACTAATATGAAGGTAGACAAATAAATAATGAAACAATAGGAAGCCCAGGAATAGACACACATATGAGCAGCTGATCTTTAAAATAAGAGACTCATAGGCAACTCATAGGAATAAGGATGCCTCTTTGAACATATGCTGCTGGACCAACTAGTTATCCAAATTAGAACATATGAATGTTCCAGGCTGTGATGGGTTATACATGTAATCCCAGAATTTGGAGGGCTAAAGGCAGGAGGATCACTGCATGTTAGCCTTGGCTATATAAAGAGCTCCAGGCCAACCCAGGATACAGAGTAAGACACTGTCTCAAAAATATATGAAAGTAAGTATACTCATGTAAATAATTATATTACCATATATATGTTCATATATATATATATATATGAGTTCACACATAGAAATACATACATGAATAGGGATTATAATTTATACTTATTTTAATATGAAAATTAATTTACATGGATCCTAGCCTAAAGTTAAAAAATATGCTCAATCTTTACCCTGGTGGTAAATTACATTCTTTGAGAAATATAATTTATGAAGCCACAAGGTCATATGCAGTCACTGTGAAGACACCTAAGCACCATCATCATATCCTCACAACTGCAGCTACTTAATAAACTCACTAACTTTGCTTTAAGAAAAAATTGTCAGAATTCTACAAAAAAAAAAAAAAAACCTTTGTCACTTTGAGTCAGTCAAATCATTTTTTTCACTTTCATCTGGAACAATGATTTTTAAAATTTTTTTAATTAAAATATAATTACATCATTTCCTTCCTCCAACGCCCCCTCCATTGTCTTCCACGTTCCCTCCCTTTATTTCCTCTCAAATTCTCGGCTTCTTTTTCTAATACACATGTGTGTGATGACTAATCTTAATTGCCAAATTGATGACATCTGGAATCAACTAAACCCCAAAAAGCTGGGCATGACTGTGTGGGATTTTCTTAATTTGACTAAGATCAAATTTTACAAACTCATCCTAATTAAATTATTCTTTGATTACAAATAATTGGAGGTATGAAGAGCCACTCAAAATCTGGGCCACACCTTCTAGTGGCAGCCCACATAAAAGGACAAGGAAGAAGGAAGCTTTATTTTTTGCCTGTTTGCCTTCACTCTCATTGGCAAATCTGTCTCCTCTATGGCTGTGGCAAGTAGTAAACTCAACTTCTTCAGGACTCTAATGTAGACTGAAAACTAGAGCTTCTCCAGGAATCCTCCAGGACTCCAGTACCAGACTGTAACTGCTGAGGCACCGAGTTTCGTGGACTGAACAACTGTTGAATTCTTGGCTTTCTGATATGAGGCAGCCATTATTGGACTATCTGGACCGCATCATGTACTTTGGAAGATTTGAACTGGATCTGACCTGAAAGCCCCTTCACTGAGGACTAGCTTTCATAGTACCAGAAGGTGCTATACAAGCTGATGAGGTAGGAAATAACCACTAGTCCTACCTGGCAGTAATGCCTATGAGTCATAAAAATGACCAACCTGAAAGATACTCCTAACAAGGCAGTTATATCTTGGCACTAAACAATAGCTGTCTATTGGACCTAAGGTCTATTCAACAGGAGGAAACCATGCCTGGTACTAGAAACCTAGCCAACCATTGAGGCTACTGAGGTCAAAGATCAAAGAGGAGAACCAACTTACATAAATAATTCTTAAACTGAACATGAAGAAACAATTAGAAAAATGGACAATGGATCTGAACCAATACTTGAACCAAAAAAATAAATAAGAATGGCCAATAGAACATGAAAAGATGTTCAACATCATTAACTGTGGACATGAAAATTAAAACCATAATCATAAAGTGGTATACATACATACATGCTGTCTAACACATAACATTATATGTAACCAATGCTAAAATTAAACAAGTGATCATGCTAAGCACTGGTGATGATGTGGAACAACTAGAACCCTCATGCATAAGTAATGCAGGCAATCAGATATTACACACAACTTGAGTAATTTCTTTAAAGTTAAATGTACACCTATCTTAGGATTCAAGAAATACATTCATAGGTATTTGCCCAAGAAAAGTGAGAGTATATCTCACACCAAAATTTGTATAACAAAATTCAAAGCAGCTTTATACGTAATAGCCAACAGCTAGAAACAACCTAAATATCTATCAGGTCAACTAATAAACTATGCTTTGTGAAACAAACCAATGACAACCAAAAAAGGAAGGAACAAAGATTGGTCTCAAATAATAAGACTGAAAGAAAGGAGTCAGGCAAAAATAACATAATATATAATTCCCATTTGCAAAATTCTTAGAAATGCAAATTAGGAGCAGAGAACACAGCTGCGGTGGCCCAAGGACTGGCGAGAAAGAGAGATAGAAAGCAGGTATCAGAAACTTCTGAAGTGGTGGTTTATTGTTTGTAGACAGAATTTCACAGGTAATACACACGTCAAATAGTACACTTTGAGTATGTGCACTGTATGAAATTACACCTCAGTAAAGATGTTAAAATGACTACAATTATGAAAAACCCTAATGAAGATTCATTAGGTTGATCCAGTAATGACAACTGTCAAAAGCTGAGGAAATATAACTAATCTACTAAAAATGATGTGCTCTGGTCACTGTAAGGTCGGTATGGCTTAACAAATTGGTTGGTGGGCAAACTAGAATATTGAAGGAAAGGAGATCATACCATTAATGTGATCATAGAACTCTAACTGAAACTTTAACATTAAACTGTTACGTTCTTAACTTAGAAGTAAAGCTTCTGAAGCAGGAAAAGTCAGTGTCCAGAAATTCGAAGAGTAGGAAACAGAGCCATTCAAGTTAAATTCCAGTTAGGCTGGGCTGATTTCTCAAATAGGAGTCCACAAGCAAAAGAGCATATTAAATGACTTGGTAATCTTTGCCACTCTCAATTCCTCCTCAAAACATGAGAATATACAAAATATATTTTAATAGGCATATCTAACAGAATCTTTTCTCATCATTCACTTTTATGAATGTTATATTTTTAATTGAGTTTTCTACTGAAACTTCAAGTCTGGTCTTAAACTGACCATCCATGGAAAACAAATTAACACATCCCTAGGGATGGCTTAGCAGTGTACTGGTAACTCTTTAACCTAGTTTAGAACTAATAACAGCTCCAATTTCCTATCATTACTCTTAAATCCTCCCTACTACAATCTAATTGACTGTAGTTGAGAACCAAAATGTGCTTATGACTAAAATCTACCAGGGAAATTCCAGAATAAGGTATGGATTTTATTCCTAAGAACACAGTTAGTAAGTCCCTACATTTAGAAAGCACAGCCAAATTCTACTTCCTATATGCCTATACTATGCTACACCAATATTGCTTATAAAATCTGCAAGACTTCAGAGAAAAAATACCTGTGTTTTGAATTCCAGAATGTCATTTCCTGGATTAATTCTTCCAAGTAATATCAAATCTTTCAGCTGCACGTTTTTCTTTTTAGAAACTGGGCTGTGGTGTGAAGGCTTTTTAACTGAATGTTGATAGGAAGACCCAGAAGAAGGAGAGATCTGAAGGCCGTTTGCATGTGCCACAACAGAAGCTGTTTTTTTAGGACATGGCTTTGTCTGCACAGTATCAGTGTCTAAGACAGTAGTAATTTGATGAGCCAGAGGTTCTGATGCTTCCTCAGATGGTGGTTGAGAAGCTGTTTTCTTGTTTGATCTTTTTGGATAACGGGGAAGTTCCTGATTCTGAGGAACAGTTGGTAGACAGGCATCATTTTGAGAAAATACCCTTTTATCTTCTGGAATATTTACAGTGCCAGTCACTGCAGGAGAACTATCAAGTCTGTAGCCTTTGACTATAGTTTCTGTAAAACTACTTTCTGCCTGTGAATTTCCTCCTTGAGGAATAAAAGCAACAGGCTGGGATGATAATTTAATTTTCTCAGTGCCATCTGAGTGTCTGGATTTCAATAACCCATCCAAGGCACAACCCTGGACATTTTCTTTAGAATTCATCTCATTTCCAGAAAATCCTTCTTTTCTCATTGCCTTTGCATCTAAACAAATGTTACTCTTCTGACTGTCCTTCTGTATTTCCACAGACAATGGTATTTCTTCCATGCTTCTATCCACAGGAGAAATAGAAGTGAGACTGACAGGAGAAAGTGAGCTTGACTGGGGATGTACTGAATTTTCTAGACTAGAAGACTCTTGGTTCTTCTTCTCACTAGAGACGTCTGAGCTAGATGGTGGTTTCCTTAAACTAAAACCAGAAAATGGTTTCGTGTTCTTGTAGTTTTGAATTCTTAGTCTTATCTTTTTCTGTTTCTTTGCCACAACTAAAAGACTCTTTTGTCTTGTGGCCAAGTTAGCCAGTTGTTCTCTCAGGGCCCCATGCTTAAACGACTCCATGGATACCCTATAAGAAAAAAAATTATTAACAAAATTTTCTTCACAGACTTTTGGATATTAAAGATACTCTCTCTTAACATGAATCAGTTTTAAGCACAATAAAGTCTATCTTTAAGATAGAGAGCTCCTTTGCAAGAAAACTGACAGGTGAGTTTGCCTTTAAAATTTTTATAACTTATTTATTTTTATTACTTATATATACATGAGTGTTTTGGCTGAGTGATATATGTACACCAGATTTGTGCCTGGATGTCCTGGGCCTGGAGTTACATATCCTGTTGGATTGGAGTTACAGATGGTTGTTAAGTATCCATGTGGGTACTGGGAATTGAACCCATCCTCTGAAAGGACAACACATGTTCTTAACCTCTGAGCCAACTCTCCAGCTGCCTTTTATTTTTAAAAAAAGAATGTAATTTCATTTGAGTAAACTCAAAAAGGAAAACAGAACTTGAGTAATCTATACTGTACTGGTTGGAAGGTAGCAACTGACAGCTAAATAGAACTACTGTCACTTAACTTTCAGTTTGATTACCTGGTTTGAAGTAGAAAGGTATGTTAGATATTAACATATGGGAGTAGGTTCTACTAAGGTTCCCTTAGCTACAGAGTAACAAGATTGCTTTTTTTTTTTTAAATAATCATACTTCAATGAAACTTGAAAATTAGTTCATTAAATATTTACTATAGTTGTATTCTGTATCTGTCCTGAGGCATTTTCAAGTTGAGAAGGATCTCCCAGACAAAACCTATCCTAGGCACCTTCAACAATAAGACCTCAATATCCTGAAGACTAAGGTAGAGGAGGTGACTCATCTCACCTCCACATTTGTCTTCTGGTTAACTGACCTTGGCTTCACTAGTTCTCAAACTTTTTGGCCTCAGGACTTATACATACTCTTAAGGAACCCAAACAGCTTTTGTTTATACAGACTATGACAATTATTTTAGAATTAAAACAGAAAAATTTTAAAGAAGGATATAAAATAAATATTTTATTAGCTAGCAGGAAGCCTTTGGCAAAGTTCTACTGGATACTGACAAGTGAATTAGAACAAAAATATCTTATTATTATAAATCATAGCTTTATCCTCACATGAAATGGTCTCAAGGATTTACCAGGGTCTATAGTCTATATTTTAAGAGATAATGTTTTAAGAAAAAGTATTATAGAAATAGTATGTCTTTCTAACAAAGTTTATAGGTAGGGATATTGAACACAGACTGTGATAAGAGTATTAGTATATATGGAGGGCAATAAGAAGCGAGACTGGCAAACAATGGAGCATAAGATACAGTGCACTATATAAAGAAGAAAGAAAATAATAATATGTTTAAAACTATGTAAAAAGGGAATTCATATAAAAACACAAAAGTGTTCTCTTTAGATCACCCACATCAAGACTGAAATCTTACAGCAACAATAATGTGATTTAGACATCTGAAATTCCAAGTTAGTAGGAACATTTCAAAAATCTCAGGTACACTGTTTACCATAGGACAAATAAAGAGAATTAAAACTAGGAGATGCTCAAAACCTCCTAAAATTGCTTATAGCCAATTTCTCATCAGTTGACAGTTCATTTGCTTAATATTACAGGAAAACTACATAGGAAAGAACAAAGAATATATAATATTTATTTGTGGGGAGAAAGGCAAAATTTTAAGCTTTCATTCCTCTCTCTCCACACTTACTGTTAGTCCTACTGCAGCCTGTCCTGTGGAGCCCCTCCTCCCACTCTATGGCCATTCCTTGGGGACTCTGCCTCTTTGTGCAGACCCCAAAGATTAGATCTTTCCTGCCAACACTTTCAGCCTTCCCTTCTAGCCCGTCTTCATTCCTTGGTGTGGACCTATTATCCTCAAAAATATTTTTCACCAGAACCCCCAATGGCCATCCTGGGATGGAACTCAGGTAGGAAATTTTCAATTACACTGTCTCCAGAATTACCCTTATCTCTGAAGCTGCCTGCTTACAGGTGCCCCTCTCACCCTACTTGTATTCCCTATGACTCTGCCTCTTGGTGAAGACAATATACCCACCCCAGAATCTTTCCCATGGCCTCTCTGAGCCCTTCTTCTAGCCCATCTCCATGTACTTCTGCCACCCACTGACCTGCAAAAGCACTCTACCAGGGACCCCAAAGTCACGACTCTTGACTAGTATCTGAAGGCAACAGCAACCAAAGCATGGAACAAAGGCAGAACTAGATATTAACACCAGGAAACACCTCAAACATTATAACTCTAGAATTATAGATCCCAACATAAAAACACAATCATGAATAGCCAAGACAGTTATGTCCCCAGCAGAAGTCAGCAATCCTACTGCAATAGGCCCTGAGAAATGCATTATAGCTGAAGCACAAGATAAGGACTTCAAATAACTATTATTAATATGTTCAACAATCTTAAAGAGCATATGAATAAGTCCCTTAATAAAGTCTGTGAAAACACGAACACACAATTGAGTGAAATGATAACAATAATTAAAGACTTGAAAGTAGAATTTAACAAAGTAATACAAGCCACTAAAGAAAACTCAAACTGAAATATAACTGGAATGAAAAATTTAGGATGTTAAACAAAATGCTCAGAGGTAAGCCTTACCAACAGAGTACAAAACATAGAAGAGAGAATCTTAGGTTGAAGACAAGATAGAAGAAATGGACACCAAAGTCAAAGAAATGTTAAATCTAAAAAAAAGTCACTGAGAATATTTTAAACAAAATCATAGAAGAAATTTCCCCAATCTAAAGAAAGAGGAGCCTATCAAGGTACAAATAACACACAGAACATCAAAAACACAGAACTAGAAATGAAATTCCCCTTGGCAGATAACAATAAAAACACTAAATGCACAGAACAACAACAACAAAAGGATATTAAAACCTGCAAGGGGAAAAAAAAAAAAAACCAAAGTGACCTACAAAAGCAGACTTACTAGAAAAACACTTGACTTTTCAATGGACACCCTGAAAGGCAGGAGGGTCTGGACAAATGTTCTACAAACCTTGAGGCCACAGATGCCAGCTCAGACTATACTCAGCAAAATATTCATCATAATTGATGGAGAAAGAAATACATTCCATAAGAAAGCAATATGTAAGCAATTTCTAGCTACTAATTCAGTTCAAGAGAAGGCACTAAGAAGGCAAACTTCAGTCTGAAGAGGTTAGTACACCCAAGACATGAGGACTGAATAGGAAGAGGGAACTCACACTGTAACAAAAAATTAACAGGAATCAATAAACACTACTCATTGATAACTCTCAGTATCAGTGGTATCAATTCCTCAATAAAAGACACAGACTAACAGGCAAGATTAAAAAACAGGATGTGTTTTTCTGTTGAATTCAAGAAACACACACTACCATCAAGGATAGATATCACCTTAGGGCAAAAGGATAGAAAAAGGTATTCAAAGCAAATGGAACCAAGAAGCAGGAGAGTGTAGCCATTTTAACATCTGACAAAATAGACTTCAAACCAAAATTAATCAGAAGATATAGAGAACACTACATATTCATCAAAGGATAAAATTCACCAAGAAAATATTGCAATTCAAAACAAAATCCACACATCCATGGTTCTCATTAGCTTCTCCTCTCTTATATATAATTCAGGTCCCCTCCTATAAAATGGTGTTGCCCACACTGGGCTTGGTCCTCCTACATCAATTAAGAATCAAGACAATCCCTCACACACATGCTCACAGGTTAGCCTGATCTAGGTAATTCAATGAAGTTTTCTTCCCAGGTGACTCCACACTGTGTCAAGTTGACATAACTAACCATCGAATATAGGAAAGAAACATCTGTAGAATTCATGACAGAAAAAAAATTCACAAGGCCATGTAACTTCAGCTACCTCATCTTTGCCAAAGATGGCCAGAGTACACATTGGAGAAAAGATAACATATTCAATTAATGGTGCTGGAGAAGCTGGATGTCTGTATCTAGAACAAAAAAGCTAGTTCCTCATCCCTCACTCTGCACAAAAATCACCTGGAAATTTATGAAAGACTACAACATAAAACCTGGAACTCTGAAACTGCTAGAGAAAGGGTGGGAAGTACACAGAAATAGGGAAGTACTGTTTAAACAGGATTGCAGTCCTTCAGAAAATACAGCCAACAATTGACAAATGAGAGTTCATAAAATCTGAAACCTTCTGACCAACAAAGGAAACTGAGTAAGTGAAGAGGCATCCCATAGGATAAGAGAAATATTAGCTATCTATACATCCAACAGAGGATTGATTCTACAATATACAAGGAGTTAATAGACCAAGGATCAAGAAAACAACCCAGTTTAAAAAGAATGCACCATGTGTTGGAACTGAGAATTCTCAACAGAAGAAATACACATGGCCAATAAACATTACAAAAAAAAATGTCCAACATCATTAGCTACCAGAGAAATGCAAATTAAAATACTTTGAGATTCCTTCTCTCCCTGGCCTCCAAAAGTGACAGCTAATCCAGAAGAAGATATAGGGAAAGGGGAATCCTTGTGCATTACTGTTGGGAGTGAAAACTGGTGCAAACACTATGAGAATTAGTGAGGATCTTCCTCAAAGCTAGAAGCTAGGAACAGAAATTATTCTGTCAGATAACAGATTTAATAAGAGATTTAAAAAAATCTTGGCCTAACTAATATCACCCAGTTTTCAATGACTGTAACAAATCCCTGAATTTTGTTTGGGGGGTCAGACTTTTGGAGGTTTCAGTCATTGCCAGATTACTGTTCTTATCCTGTGGTGAGGTCACACATCATATATGTGGCAAAACAAAGCTGTTCATTTCATGTTCAAGATGCAAAAGAGAGGAAGGAGGGGCTAGGGTTTTATCATATTCTTCCAGTGTCTGTTCCCCAACAACTGGGAAACTTCCTACTGAGCCCCACCACCTCTCAACAGCACCAACCTTGAAACTAAGCCTTTAACACATGGGCCCTTGGGAAACATTCTAAAGCTAAATTCTGGCATTATAATAATCTAAATGGATAAGTCCTTTTCCCTTCTCACCTGTATTTTTTAGCTAGATCATCCCTTTCTGTCTTCTGTTGAGCAAGTATATTATCCATAACTTCTTTTATCTCTAACATCCTTCCAATGTATTGTTCTAGAAACAACAGTGATAAAATAAAAGGTCAGTTAGTGGCAAATGCTTAATCTGTTCACCCAAGTTTAGACCTATTGACATCTATTTTTTTGAGATTGGGCTTTTAATCTCATTACTCCCAACCCACTTTTTAATATAAGTGGCCCACATACTTAAATCAAAGCTTTTTAAATTATATCATCCCAATGAAATGCCCTGAGGTATTCAGATAAGAACATACCAAGAAAGAACAGTCCATTTTAAATTCTAATTCTGCTACCCCATTGACTTAAGCTCTAGGAGCTGGGAGTCATATCATCTCTATTATCAGGTTCCTTTTCTTCTTGTCTCTCTTGTATGTGGTGGTGTTGTATATTTGTGATATATGAAGACAGATACATGCACCATACATAGGCATGTGGAGGTCAGACTTGTGCAGCAAGCCAAGGCATCTCATTGCTTCCACCTTATTTTTGAGACACAGTCCCTTACTGAAACTGAAGCTTACAACCCTCACTGAAACTATAGCTCACTTTTTTGGCTAAAATGACTGAATTTTTATTTTCCTTAAATAAAATGTTACCCACTGTAATTTGGAACTGTTGACATTACTTTTCAAAAGTATATCAATATCATAAAGCAAGGCATTCCCAAACAATCCTAATGCAGACCACATATAGTGAGAACACAGCAAGATACTCAGAATTTACAGATGCAAGTAAATAAATTGATGCATGACATCAATATATCACTTTTATTATTTTTAGGACAAAGAACATGATCTCGAAAAAGAAAATAATGACCACTTCTATGGGGAGCAACTTTTGTTTCTAGTCGGGGCAAAAAGACTGAGGTTTATCCATCAGCCTGGGGACATGGTTTAATTAAAGAAAAAAAATCCATCGTTTTCCTTTTATCCTTCAAGAATTCAACTTTTCTTCAGTCAAAGTTTCAAAGATAATTCCACTAACTCCTCTTTACTTTTTAAAAATGGTCTTCTACCCCAGGACTCGGGAGGCAGAGGCAGGTGGATCTCTGTGAGTTCGAGGCCAGCCTGGTCTCCAGATCGAGTGCCAGGATAGGCTCCAAAGCTACACAGAGAAACCCTGTCTTGGAAACAAACAAACAAACAAACAAACAAACAAAGGTCTTCTACACTACAGAGTGTTGACCATGAAAGAGGATAAAAGCATCTTAGATCTGTGTTCTTGAGACATTACTTTGGTCCCTGGCCTCAAGGAACTTACACTGATTATGTATAAAGTGAATTTTCTGGATGGATAAAAAATGACATCCAAAGTAAAACAGCAACACAGTACCACTGGTGGGAGTTTGGCAATGACCTAGATCCAGAGGGCTTACACACAAATGTTGACTATGCCCAAATAAAAGTTCCCAAATAGGAATCTAAAGGCTTAAATTAATACATGGCATTCCCCTTAATCTACCCACCATTCATTTAACTTTTGGATTTGTTTCTTAAGATCTTTGCTAATATTTTTGAACTGCTGCCTTTTTCTTCTAGATAGCTAAACTTGAAAAAATCATTAGTCAGATGTTTGGGGGTCACAGAATCTCCCTGTGCAAACCAAATGACTGGAAAAGTCTAAGTTCAGTGTTCCCAGGGGAGTGAGTTCCTATCTCTCTAATAATAAGGTGAAGAGTTAGTTTCCATGTGATGCATATATTAACAAAGGGGCAAAATGAGTGAAATTATTAAAAATTTAGAAATAAGTCTGCTTAATAGATTTGACATTGTTTATTAAAAACATTTAAATTATATGCATACTCTTTACATTGAGTTTTTAAACTGAAATTTCAATTTCAGATATTAAAAATAACAACACAGTAGCAAAAGGCAGTCTTTGCTGTAAGAAAGAACATGAGGATATTTCACACATAAATTGATACTGTGTACTTATTTATCAGAGACAATATTGGAGGAGATAAGTGTGTTTCCACAAAGCAATAGGAAAGCTGAAACAGCATTCAAAGAACAGCAAGCTCAACAGTTCTTACACATGGGTTGAAACCACACCTACATCTGAACATATCCTTACTAGTTGTCTACCTCTTAACACAGTTCAAAATGTCTCTCACACGATGCATGCTCTTTTGACTTTGTATAGAAATGTCTGTGTCAAAAATTTCACTTGTTTGTATTATTGACTTTTGCTATAATTCGTAGCACCTTAAGTACTATCTTTTTTTTTTTTTTCGAGACAGGAGTACTATCATATTTTTAAAAAGTCTGTGTGGGGCTGGAGAAATGGCTCGGTGGGTAAAAGCACCTGCCATGTATAAGCAACCAAGTTCAAATTCCTAGAATCCACATCAAGCCAAGTGTGTTTGTGTGTTTGCGTGTATCTATAACCCCAGTGTACCTCAGGAGAGATGGGGAGTGCAAACAGGGGAGTTCCAGGGAGCTCCTGGGTCACTTAGCCTGGTGTACATTGCTCAGCGGCAAACCACGAGAAACCGTGAGTCCACAAGATGGAAGATGAGGACCAACACCTGAGTTTGTCTTCTGATCTCCATACATGCACCATAGCCTATGCCTGCCCCCCCCACCAGTCCACACTTTTAGCTATTATGAACTTTGAAATAAGAAGTACATATTTACCACCAGGCAGTGGTGGCACATGCCTTTAATCCCAGCAATCGGGAGGCAGAGGCAGTCGGATCTCTGTGAATTCGAGACAAGCCTGGTCTATAAAAGCTAGTTCCAGGACAGTCTCCAAAGCCACAGAGACACTCCGTCTCAAAAAACAAAACAAAACAAAACATATTTACCTGCATCTTCAGAGTTTCCTATTTCAAATTTTAGTAACTTTTCTTGCTTTTCTTCTATATCTTGTAGAATAGCACTGATAGTCTGATGCTGCCAGATTAAAAACATTAGGAATTCCATTATAAGAGGGAAGATATGCTTTCTGATAGCCCAACAAATACAAATAATATGTAGCTTAAAAGCTCATCTCTCCTTGTTCTCAAAATGAACTCATGTTTTATTTAACTTTAAATGAATGATTGTTCAAGACATAAAAAATAAGTTTAAATATATTTCGATTTATGTAGTAGATCTACTGAAAAACAGAAGAAAAGGAGCAACCACATAAGGAATTATCATTTCTGATGTCATTTGAAATTATGCATATGGGAGAAAAAAAACAATACATACTATTTCATGATCACATAAGCAACTTTAAGACTTCATGACTGTCACTGCACATTATTAAAATCTCACACACAGTCCTAGATATATGATACACTACTCTCAAAAAGCACAAGAGAGGGGTTTAACTCTACTATCCTGTGCCCATGGCAATACCAATTTTCCTGCCTGAAATGCACTCAGCTCACTCTGCCCAGTTCCTCTCTTTTGTGTAAGAACAATGAAGTGGGCTCTAGAGCCAGACTGCCTATGTGTGCTCCTGGCCTCACTTCTTCCCAGCTGACTGACTGCAGCAGATAGCTCTTCCTCTTACACCTGACCTGAGAGAACATATTCATGCAAAACATTAAGAACAACACTATTATAAACGAAGAGCTCAAAAATATTGGTTACTATTGTTTTATGACATCTATCTCATATGTAAAATCTCTGCCTAACATAATCCATACTGACTTACCTTTCGGTAAGTTAATAATTTCAAAGCCACATAATGCCTTTTACAAAATATTTCCTTATTAGTTCTTATAAGCAGAAACATGTTTTTTCCCCAAAATCCTGCATACATAATTGTCATTCATAAGTGATGATCGATGGTCTGACTCTTATTATCTTTTCATAAATTCTCAATGTATATTATTTTAATTATATGTCAAATCCTTCTATCCTTCTGAAGTATACTGCTCCAAACTTTTACTTTGGTGTTTACAAGAAATGTGGAAAATACATACAATAAAATTATTTGGTAATTTCTAGGAAAAAATTGTATGTGTGTGTGAGAGAGAGAGAGGGGGGGAGAGAGAGAGAAAGAGAGAGAGAGAAAGAGAGGAAGGGAGAGAGGGAGGGAGGGAGGAAGGGAGAGAGAGAGAGAGAGAGGGAGGGAGAGGGAGGGAGGGAGAGAAAGTAAGCCTAAGACAACTTTTGGGAGTTGGTTTTCTCTCTCTACCATGTGGATTCTAGGGATGGAACTCAAGTTGTCAGGCTTGTTGGCAAGTGCTTTTACCCAATGAGCTGTCTTTATTAGACATGGTAAAGCAATCTTTGTGCTGCCATTTATGAAATGCATCACAGTAAAACTATAAAATATGAAACTGCAAAACAAACAAAAAGTCCAAGGTCTATCTCTTTATATGGTTAAGTGCTTATGATTACAGAAGCAAATAGAAAGCGCAAACTTGTGCCCAGGCTAAACATCTACCTTAAGATATATCTGTGCAGGACTTTCCTGTCTTGCTTATATTGTAGATGTACTCAATTTTCAACACAATGGACTAACTTGTATTCAAAATAATATTGAAGTTGGTACCTTGCTAAAGTTTGTATCTAATAAACTTAGAGGTTTTTAACAGAAACTATCAGTCTTATTAAATCAATCTATCTGTAGATATAATTTGTTGAACAATGACTAGGTTATTTTTGCAAACATCTACCTTTACATAATTGTTTTCATGGCAAACTCTAACATTATAAGCCACGTGAGACTCAAAGCAGTTAAGCAAGGTAGCTTTCTTATTCTCTATCAAGGTTCTATGAAGTAAATTATCATAGACAATTTGGGGAGTGAATGATGACACAATGGATAGTAACAGTTTCTGTGGGCAAAGAAGTAGTCAAACAACTCAAGCAGGGTGGAAAGGACAGCAGCTAATTTATACCTACTAGTCAGTGCAGACAACAGAGTTAGAGTATATCTTCTTAACTTATTCTGTTCAATTGACATGAAAAACCCACGTTCAATCCATGTCCTTAAAATGGAGAGAGACTGGCTAGTTGAAGGTATTTTCTAGGCTGAAGAATGAAAGAAATTCAATGTCACTTACCGCAGGAAGACTTTCACTACTCTTCACTTTATGTAAAGGGGAAGGAGGATCAATTGTTTTTTCATCATCACAAGAATGTGACTTGTATCTTTTTGGTTGGATAGCAGGACGTTTTACTTAAAAAAAAATAAAGTTAGAAAATTAAGAGTGTTCAAAAATGTTTTATCAGTTTTAATTGTTGTGATAAGGACTACAATTATTGTCTTAATGCTAGGTAGCTTCTCATTATTATTAACTTTGGCAACATTTTATGCACATGTATCACATACTAGATTTTCTGGTATATCATCTTATCAAAATAGTCAAATATTCACATGAACCATATGAAATAGGTAGTTTGTTACAAATTTTATAGAAGTGAAATGCTAGAGAAGTTCAGGAAATTTCCCAATCACAGTTAGTTACTACTTTTAACTACTCTGATTCACTGCTCTGTAGTACTCTCCTGGACTCTTTTCCTATTATGGGTTCCTTTTGCCCTAAGCATCATTTGCTCTATGCTCCTCATTCTTTTGGGAACCTGACCAACGAAGTATACACTCAAGAAACAATAGACATAGGAACAAAGAAAACACTTTATAGCAGAGTCCCAATATCTCCAAATGCCCAGGTTCCCCAGTATGCTGAACTCAGTTTGAATCTTCAGGTATGGTTGTAGAAAGGGAGAGAAAACACACTGAGATCCCAAGAAAGAGAAGAGTTTCAGTAGTCCCAACCTTGATCTTCATGTGATCTAGATCATTAATAAAACATTACATATTGGATATTCTCATATTTTAGCTGATCACATCATAAATCCATCTACTCTTGAAAATCCATAGTTGGTGAGAAGCATGGTAGGTTAGGGAAAACATGTTCTCACTCCTGCATTTTCCATAGCAAGAACAGATATATTACTCAGCTTCTTCTGAGTCAAGGTTCAATCATGTGGAAAAGAAAAACAATTCTCTCAACACTTTATAAAAAGGAAACTATTGCACAATAACTCCAATAAATTTTTGCCTAGCTATATATTTTCTTGAAATATTCTTTTTATTACAAACCCAACAAATTCAGTAATTATTACAATTTTAAGGTAATGAAACCTTAGCTACAAGGACTCTAATATAATGTCACACTTTTTCAGCCTTTCTACAAGTAATTCAGCAACTTGGTTTCAATTATCTATCTCATAACAAAGGTAGGGAGGTTAATGTCTGATTAACAGTTGGTCTGTGTTTCACTCCAGTAACTTCAATCCAATAGCATCATATGGGCTTGGTAACACAGCTTAGTAATAAAGGCTTTCCTAATATACACATGTACAACCTATACACACATGCACAACCTAATATACACTTGCACAATCTACACTTATGAACTCCAGGTCCTGGAGTTGTAAATTGTGGGAGAAAAGGGCTTATCTATGGAAGGCATAATTTCGAATGTGTAAGATTTGGTAATAGGATAAATCTGCCTTTCATTCAAACACTGTTACTGCTCCTTTCTCACACTGTGCACATCAAGCTCATCTGCCTAGTGCCTCTAGCACTCACACCTTGCTCACACTGTCCTGTATCCACAGGGTTCTTCACTGACTTCCTTTCCCCACATCCAGGTTCAATTTACCCTTAAGTCCTCAACATACATATACTAGCTCTTAAATCTCCAATTTCTCCCATAATTGAACACCACTAATGTATAACATTTGGGTAATAAAAATGGTAATAGCTCCCCATTATCCTTTTTTATCTTATCAATAAAATACAGTTACGGTGCCACTTGTCTATTATTGCTTCTTTCAGACATAGACAGTCCAGACTTAACAGTATTTTGACTTTCATGGTTTTTAGCTTTATAATGGTACAGTAGTGGGACACATTTTGGGTCTCTCCCCTAGCAAGCAGTATGTGTTGGTCCTTTCCCTTGGTGTACAGGCTACAAAGTGCAGCTTCCAGTCAGCCAAGCAACCCTAAGATGAACAGCTGGATGCTCTACAGTGTTCTGCGTTGGTAGGCCATGTGTTCAGTAGCCAGTTGGGTGTCTTCCTGAATAATGTGTAAAGATACAGAAGTCCCATAGACATTCAAACAGGTGGTTTCTGATGACATTCCAGGATACTCTTTCTAGAAGACTGGTAACAACAAATGTAACCATCCAGTGGGCCACAGAAGAGTTTGTGAACCTAGAGACTGATCTTCCAGAAGGACTGTAAAACTCTGGCATGAGGCAAATGACTAACTGCACTGCCCCTAAAGGGAAATTTGTATAGAAATTTAAAAATTAAGGAAAAAATTGATATAATACCATGACAATATTAATAAAATAGCATCATTTGAGCTAAAAAAATTAAAAGTTTAAAAGAAAGGTGGGAAAGGAGAAAACTAATGATCTATAAATTTTATTGATTTTTAGAGATTTATTTTTATTTTATGTGTATGGGTGTTTTGCCCACATGTATGTGGCCTACAGAGGCTAGAAGAGAGTATAAGAAACCCTGGAACTGGAGTTATAGACGGTTGTGAGCCACCATGTGAGTGCTGGGAATCGAACCTGGGTCCTTTGGAAGAACAACCAATACTTTTAACTAGTGAGCCATCTCTCTAGCCTGTAAATAAAATTTTAGAATACTAATTTCTGGAAACAAATGATGGATATTTAGAGTTCAATGAACACAGGGAAACACCTACCCCCATTAGAAAATAACATTATACTATATATGCAAATATAGTATATACTATATTTTATTTTGCTAAGCAAAGATGTAACCCTGTATAAAATAGAAAGTAATGCTGATGTACATACCAGTCACTGCAGAGCTAATCTCATTTCCATTACTGGTCTCAACAGCACCATAAGATTTTAGTAGTTCTTTCATTTTTTCATCATCTGCTTCTTCCAAAGCAGTCCTCTGTTTCTGATCTTTCTGATTAGGGTTTGCTCCATGTTCTAGGAGTATCTCAGCTGCCTGGAAGGTAATTGTTCAGTTATGTCTACATATATCTGCTTTCATCTTAAGACACCACTACCAAGCACATGTCTTCAAGGTATGAACAAGACACATTTCAATTACATTTGATATGGTCACTGTAACTTTGACTATATATTGTTTTACATCTTCATTTCAATTCTATTAGGTTTTTTTCATGTACTTGTAGTTTAATTATTTTACAACAGGCTTTCAGAACTGTAATATCTACCTGGTAAATTGTTCCTTTATCATTATGAAACGTCTGTATCCTAGTAATAGCACTTGCTTTAAAATCTACTTTGTCGCACATTACCAAAGCCATTCTTTCTTTTATTATTTGTGGAATGTATCTTTTCTATAATTTTGCTTTGGTCCCATCTGTGTCCTTATAACTGACGTAAGCTTCTTACAGACCACATTTAGTTGGGTTTTGTTTATTTATCCAATCTGAGGTTTTCTACCATCTCACTGAAATGGTGATATGGTTTAGATTTGGAATGTTCCCTACAGACCCATGTCTTAAAAGCTTTCTTACCTTGGCTCTGAGAGGTAGTAGAAACTCTAATACTGGTAGGAAGTCTACCAGTCACTGGGAACATATGTGATATGTCTTTCCTCTCTTGCTTTGTTCAACCATGTGCTTTCTGCCACTATTCTATATACCACAGGCCTAAAGCAATAGATCCAATCAACTGCAGACTAAAATCTCTGATATGATAAACCAAAATAAAGGTTTTCTCTTTATAAGATAATTGATTTCAAGTATTTATTACAGTGATAGAAAGCTACCAGTGACTGGATCATTTACATTGGAAATTATAATTAGCAAGTCTGGGTGTGTTTATTTATTTATGTTTTTTGAGACAGTCTTAGCTGAGGGGAAGCAAAATCACATGGTAGTGCTGCAGAGTGGTACATAACTAAACATCAGCACAAGCTAGGGCGGCGTTGTCCATTTTCTTGCTGCTACTGAAAGCATTCTCTTGCCCCTTTCCCTCATCTTTTCATAACAGCTCAAAAAAAAAAAAGGATAAAAAACCACCATGTCTTGGTGCTTTTTCAATGATACATTTTTAAGTTGTCACCTATGTCTTCCAATAGTAAATAATTTTCTTTATTATATGAATTTTACAATAGAATATTTCATTTCTTACATCCCATTTGTTGGCTACTCTTATCTTTCTTTTTACTTGAATACATTAGTTCTACAGTGCAGTATAATTTTATTCCAAGCATTTAATTTTTCTTTTAAATATATTTATAAAGTGAAAATTCTTTTTAAATCTACATAATTATCACATGTAGAATTTCATTCTTTTGTAAATCTGAATTTCCTTTAAGTATAATCTTTCTTCTAGATTATTTTAACAATTCCTAACATTAAAAATTATTTTATGTATATGGGTATTTTGCTGCATATTACTTTTTATGTATACTAGTATTTTGCTATATCCATCTACCATATGCATGCAGTGTCCTCAGAGGCCACAAAGGGCATCTGATCCCCTGGAACTGGAGTTACAGACAGTTTTAAGCTGCCATGTAGGAACCCAGGTCCTCTGGAAAGTGTAGCCAGTGTTATTAACATGGAATCATCTATTCAGTCTCATACACTTATATTTTTAATGCAACAATATAGGAAATGAACTCTCTTAACCCTTGCTTATTTCAAAAGGTCTGTGTTCCATAACCATTGTCTAAAAATAATTAAGATAGGACTGGAGAGATGGCTCAGCTGTTGAAGTCTAGGCTCACAACCAAAAAGATAGGACAAATTAAGATATACGACCATCTGCAACTCCAGTGCTAGAAGATCTTCTGCCCTCTTCTGGCCTTCACGGGCATTACATGTATATAGTACACAGACACTAATAATGCAAGGCAAAACACTAATACACATAAAATAAAGGAAATCTCAAAAGGGAGTGGTAATAAAGATGCCTGTGGTATTCTTGCCAGCCAGTTTAGGTCAGTAAGCAAATGCAAGGTCCACTAAGAGAACCTGTCTCAAAACCTAACACAGAGAGTGACTGAGCAAGAAACCTGCTGTTGACCTCTGGGTCCATGCCATGCACATGAACCTACACACACACACACACACACACACACACACACACACACACCCCAATGTAGTTAATGCTTCTGTGAGTATTAGTTTTTGGTACATGCTAACAGGTTATCTAAAATAAAAATATTATGTACTGAGTCACTTAAATAGCTTCTCTAAGCAGAAACACTGCATTTATATTCATACTTTTTCATTGTTGAGGAAGAGAAGTCTTTGTGTGGTGTCTTATGAAGAACAGAGCATAAGATAATCCCCACCCCCGTAAATACCTCCACATTCCACCTGTCTTTTTCTTTTATGAACCATAGTCACATCCTTAATATAGTGATATGATAAAACACTATATACCAAGTTCTGTAAGTTTTTCTTTAAATAAATCTCCAGTTATCTAATACAAGTACAAATTATAGAATTAACTTTTTTTTTCAAGACAGGGTTTCTCTGTGTAGCTTTGAAGTCTATCATGGCACTCTCTCTAGAATTAACTTTTAAAATGTGGTCTTTTAAAAGAAAATACTCTAAAAACTCAATTTGGAATTTATTTATGTGGCTTAGAGTTAACTGATCTTTTCTTTGTACAATACCAACAAATTTATCACTTTCATGATTCTTTCTGTTTGCTTTCTTCCATTTCAAAACCATATATTCTTTTTTTGGTCAGGAAAATATTATGTATTTATGTGACTGAAATTAACGTCATCATTATGAAATTGAGAATGTATTAAATTTTAAATGCAAGCCCCCAAAAGTTATAAAGCAAGAATTTCTGGTAGAAAAACAAAAGAGAAAGTAGGGTTAATCAATTTATACCATTAGGTAAAAATCAACAAATCATAGAGAAAGAGAAAAAAAGGAAAAAAGAAATTTCAAAACTGTTATAAATTGGCCGCCGGCCTGACCCCTACTGAGGTGATTGTACCCTCTGCTCTTGCCCTATTCCTACTCAACGTCCATTCACCCGATCTCTCTGGGCCTGCTCCTGCATAGAGCAGACCCACCCACGCAAGGAGGAGCTCCCTGAGTCTGGAAACACCTCACTCTTCCTTCCCCCTCCGCCGGCCTGACCCCTGCCAAGTGAGCAGACTACCAGGAGAGGCAAGACCATCCAGAGCTGCAGACATTGAAGTCTTGGCCCACACACACCACCGGGTGACAAGAGGAGATAGAGAGACCTCACCTACACCCACTGGAAGACGAGATGGAAAGAACACTAATTAACAAAATCAGAAACGAAAAGGGGGATATAACAACAGACACTGAGGAAATCCAGAGAAACATCAGGTCTTACTTTGAAAACCTGTACTCCACAAAATTCGAAAATATAAAGGAAATGGACAATTTTCTGGAGAGATATCACTTACCAAAATTAAACCAAGAACAGATAAGCAGTTTAAATCGACCTATAACCCCTAATGAAATAGAAGCAGTCATCAAAAGCCTCCCAACCAAAAAAAGCCCAGGGCCAGATGGCTTCACTGCAGAATTCTACCAAAAATTCAAGCAAGAGCTAATACCAGTACTCCTCAAATTGTTCCACACAATAGAAACAGAAGGGACATTGCCAAACTCTTTTTACAAGGCTACAATCACTTTGATATCCAAGTCACACAAAGATACAACTAAAAAAAGAGAACTACAGACTAATATCCCTCATGAACATCGATGCAAAAGTACTCAACAAAATATTGGCGAATCAAATCCAAGAACACATCAGAAAAATCATCCACTATGATCAAGTAGGCTTCATCCCAGGGATGCAAGGATGGTTCAACATACGAAAATCCATCAATGTAATCCACAATATAAACAAACTGAAAAAGAAAAACCACACTAGAGCAATAACACAACAAAAGGAGATCAAAGGGATACAAATTGGAAAGGAAGAAGTCAAACTTTCACTATTTGCAGATGATATGATAGTTTACATAAGTGACCCAAAAAACTCTACCAGGGAACTGCTACAGCTGATAAACACCTTCAGCAAAGTGGCAGGACACAAAATTAATTCAAAAAAAATCAGTAGCCCTACTATATACAGATGATAAATGCAATAAGAAAGAAATCAGAGAAATGTCACCCTTCACAATATCCATAAGCAACATAAAATATCTTGGGTAACACTAACCAAAAAAGTGAAAGACCTGTACAGTAAGAACTTTGAGTCTTTAAAGAAAGAAATTAAAGAAGATACCAGAAAATGGAAAGATCTCCTATGCTCTGGGATAGGTAGAATCAACATAGTAAAAATGACCATCTTGCCAAAAGTAATCTACAAATTCAATGCAATCCCCATCAAAATCCCAGTACAATTCTTCACAGACCTTGAAAGAACAATACTCAACTTTATATGGAAAAACTAAAGTCCCAGGATAGCAAAAACAATTCTGTACAATAAAGGATCTTCTGGAGGCATCACCATCCCTGACTTCAAGCTCTATTATAGAGCCATAGTTCTGAAAACTGCTTGGTATTGTCACAAAAATAGACAGATACACCAATGGAATCAAATTGAAAACCCTGATATTAACCCATACATGTATGAACACCTGATTTTTGACAAAGAAGCTAAATCTATACAATGGAAAAAAAGAAAGCATCTTCAACAAATGATGCTGGTACAACTGGATTCAGAATTGCAGACAATTGCAGATAGATCCATATCTGTCACAATGCATAAATCTTAAGTGCAAATGAATCAAAGATCTCAACATAAATCCAGCCACACTGAATCTTCTAGAAGAGAAAGTGGGAGATATCCTTGAACGAATTGGCACAGGAGACTGTTTCCTGAACATTATACCAGTAGCACAGACATTGAGATCCACAATTAATAAATGGGACCTCCTGAAACTGAGAAGCTTCTGTAAGGCAAAGGACACAATCAGTAAGACAAAACAACAGACCACAGAATGGGAAAAAATCTTCACCA